ACTATATATCTGATAAATGCTTGAGTTTAGGAGCTTATCTGAGGCGGCTGTTTCTTGTAGAAAAAGAAATAGATGCAGCAAACTGTGCACATTTATGTTGTTGTTAAACTGATGTACTAGTTTCTCAGGCTATTGGTGGAGATCCATTAATGTTTATTTTCTTGTCAGAAACCCACACACCATTAAGAAACAGCTGCTTATTTCGTTTTGGGGTAGATTTCTGGGTTTGGTCCTCTTTCAGTTTTGTTGGTTTTTTTTATTGCAGCAGAGTGCACATTTCTCCTATTATCCATATCTCATCTGAAACTGTCGTGCACTCTGAAAGCTGTAGGCCAAGGTCACATTTTTCATCAATGAAAGCAAAGCCTGTTTGGGAAATTATGATCTCCCCAGGTCACCTAGATCAAATTAAGGTGGCAATTATCAACAGCCCAAGCAGAAAGCTAAAATCTGCCACCAATTGTTAAGCATTCTATTGAGTCACATACTAGCTATCAGTTTTCTCCCCTAAATGCCACAGGCTATAAAATTCTAAGCAGTTTTCTCAAAGGCTTCACCACAGTTATCTCTGCCTGTCATCTGCAGACGGAATTGCTATGATGTACCTTCTGTGGAGCTACAGACCATTTAGAGTGGCTATAAACACATTTGGAATTAAATGTCTGTCTAATGAGAAATCTCTCTGTCTACACATCCACCAGCACCTATCAGCTTGCTAGAAATGCATCTGCCTGCACATTTTCCAGCAACCAATTTGGGGTTTGTTTGTTTTCTTACTACTTGTCTGAAACTGTTTTGAAATACAACTCATTTCTGGGAACAATACAAGCTTAAATTTAAGCAATGCAATAGATTATTTCTGTTGTCTGCTCCCTGCTTTATATACATTAATATAAACAAGAGACTACACAGAATGCACAGGTAGCCTATTTTCAGATTTCTGCAGGGAGAGCTGGAACCAAAGTGGTATCAGTAGCCTGAGGAATTCATTCCACTGCTTTCCCCACATAATCCAGAGAGGAGATGCCTGGATAACAACAGAAGCCTGTTTACAGAACCCTTCTGTATTACTCTGCAGCAAATTTTTGTCAAGTAACTACCAAAACAAGAAAAATTTCCTATTTAGAGCCACACACTTTCTCCCAGGACACCCTTTGTATGTGACAAGCTACAACCCTAAGGTCCTATTCTGACCTCCAGTATATCCCTCCCTTTAACCCAGTTACAATACTATACCTGTGGCAAATGCAAAATTAGAACACCTAGGTAGAGATTAAAGATTCAAACTGCTAACTGTGCACATCTAAAGAGATAAAACTGAGGACCCACTTCTGCAACTCAACTTTCTACATCCTCCATCTGCTTAAATTAGTGAAAAACTCTAAAGCAGGGGCCATTAACTTCTATGCAGTGCCACAAACTAACAGTGCTTAACATTGAGGGTTGTAATCTTCACCAGAGCCTCTACTGCTGCAGTTTTCCTAACAGTCCCAATAAAAACCCATTTGCAAGACACACTTTCATGAGGGAATCTGTGCTTGACATGCTTTGAAGGTGAGAAGTGCTACACTACACACATTCCTGTTTAGCAGTGTATGTGACTAAGTCAGGAAAATTATCAATATGATTTTTGAAAAGCTAAGCTCTATCATAACTGTTCACTAATGAGATTTTAAGGATCCTGGTACTGAATTTATAGACACAACTTTATAATGTAAACCTAGTAGATCAATGTCTTGGTACTATTTTTAAAAATTTTGCCAAATAAAGGCTTCAATGGTATGGAAAAAAAAAAAAAGAAGAGTGGCTATTAGCATATTTCTAACTTAGTGCATGTCTTTTTCTCATCAAATGATAGACATTTGGAGTTTTCCTTATGAAGAATGACAGCTGAGGATTCAGTTTTGAGGTTACAATGGTGCTTAGAAGCAGCAGTGTCAGAGCAGGTTACGTTAACGCAAAGTCAGATAAAGGATTTTCACTAGAGGATAAAAAAAGTTTAAGAGTTTGCAGTGCCTTGGGAAAATAAAAATCAAACAACATTCTGCAGGTCAAACGTATGTCCAGAAAAGTTAACTCAACCAAATGGCAAGTTATAAGTGTATTAATCATCAACAATTCAGATACAGTGAAAAACAAATTCCTCAAGCCCTTCAAACGATCTCTTCCCAAAGCATTTTATTATCAGTGAAATAAAAGAGTCTCAGCTCATGTAACCTGGAACACTTGGTGACTTAGCAGCACTTTAAATAAGATTTGTTTATTGCAAAGCCATGCAGAGGTTATATAAAAAACTCTTCCTATCAGAGACCTCAACTATCTATTTTCACAAAGGCTGCTGGAAGCTTGCTTAATGAGATGTAATTTTTGACCCAGAATTTTTTTGCTGAGGCTATATTGTTTCAGCTGCTGTCACCAAGTCAGCTCAGCACTACTGCCATACCATTTGTCCCTTTTAAAGCAACTGACTCTAATGCTGCTCCAAAGAGTTATGTCCAATCTGAACAGACAACCTTGGAAGTCCTTTGCTTCCATCTGACCAGAGAGAAGGAGAACACGTGTACAATTAATGCATTGAAGTAGAACTTCCTGAATTTTGTGAGATAGGTAAGCAGGCTGCCAAGAGTATTACTCCTCATATGCCTTTGCCCTGAACAATCTAACTTTGTAGAAATTTCACAGTGTGAGTATTTGAAGCTGAAAAACACAGGGCTGCTCTCCACTGAAAGTTCAAAGTCAGCTGAACAAGCAGGCGTTACAGAAGTGCACCAAATAATCCTGGTAACAGCAGCATGATGATTTAGGGTCACTGCACAGATGTAAAATACGTACTGGGAGATGGCTCTTGCAGACTTCAAGACAAGAAATTCAAGAACAATACTTTGGAACAAAGAGGAAGAAAGCATGAAGGAGTGGGAAGAAAGTGGGAAGAAAAAGAAAACATTACCAACATCAAAAAGTGGAAGAAAACTATGACAAGAAATTCAAGAATACTACTTTGGAACAAAGAGGAAGAAAGCATGAAGGAGTGGGAAGAAAGCGGGAAGAAAACATTAACAACATCAAAAAGTGGAAAACTATTAAAGAACCACATCCATCATGGATAAACCCTTGTGGATTATCCTGCATAACTCTTTTAGCCCTACAGTGGTAGCCCAACAAGGTTTAGTATCAAAGAATGGTGCAGAGGCAGTACATGGAGGCTGCTGGACCTTTAATACATACAGAAGAAATATAAACAGGCAGCTCAACTTTTGCTACAGCTTCATAGTCAAGTAAGGACACTTCCAACTCATCATACCAAACCTTAACATGTAAAAAATGTGCTGTTATTGCTAAAGCAGTGTACGAAATGTAAGAAGAGAGGAAGACCTCCATCTCTGGCATTCTACACACAGCACTCAGCTTGACTTAAGCTTGAGGCAATAATTTTATGGTTAGATTGTATTTAAAGCATCTCAAAGTGTCTCCTATTCATGAGGTGTCTGATGAACACTGAAGAAGGGCTGGATTTTACAATGAAATGTAGAAATTGCCATAAGTATAAATAAGGAACACATCAAATTTTAGACCTTGCACAAAGGTTATCTAAATATGGCAAGTCTATTTTGCTTTATAATTCACCCATAACTTTTCTAGTGTTATAAGCAATTAGTGATGGACTAATATGTTGTCAATAGGATTACTCTATGAGAGCAACTCAATTATTCAGAAATTAATCTGAAAGCAGGTAACTGCATGGATTTATTTCAATTTCCTCTCAGTCAGGATCAGACAGATGGCATGGCCTAATTATACCTGGACTACTGCACTTTAGACAGCTAATCTAAAAGCTATCCCACAAGCAAGAAGCAACAAATTTAAGCCAAAATATCAATTAAAAACAAAAATTAAAATAAAATGATAAAAAAATTTCAGGGCAGCCAGCTATGATTCAGTGGCTGACAAGAAATCATTTCGTAGCAGTAGAAATTTGGTGCATCCATTTTTAAATAATTTTTCTAAGTAGAACTGAAGTTATAAATCACAGACAATTTTCCACACTTCATTATTAATACATATGTTGGAACAATCAATATAAACACAAGTAGTGATCATTACTTTTAAGTGGTAGCTTTGGTAATAGTTTTAGTAGCAAAGACTACTAAATAAAATAATGTACTCCACACAGAAATGTGACTGTCTCTTTCACACCACTTTATATATAAATTAATGAATTTTCATTTCTTTCTCCAGTTGCTTGGAAGAAGGTTCTATAAGAAGTCCTAAACTTATTACAAATAATCCCATAGTATGCAATGATACTATATGAATTCATAGAACTGACTTAGAGTAACTGATTCCTGTGATTTTCAGATGCAAAAGAGATCTTCTTTACTACATTGCAAGAAATGCCTGGGAAAGTAAATACTTTTTTAAAAAAATAGGCATATTCAAAGCAAGCATGCAAACTGCACACAGCCAGTGGCACTTCTATATAACAAATAAGAAAATTAATTCATGTACAGGAAGTATTTTTGTTACTGGAGCAGCTGTAAGACACTGAAAAAGGAGCAGTCAGGTACAATGAAGAGAGAAAATGTTGATCAGAGGCTGGGAAGGGAGCCTGTTAGCAAGCACTAAGAGTGCCCCACGCACTCAGCTGAGACAGCCATGAGTCATGTCATTCATTATACTGCAAAACACAGCTGTATAAAACCTACCTTCAACAGAAATGTTCTAATTTGACTTTTAGCCAACCCATGCACAGGATCAGGCAAATATAAGTAATTCTTCATGCATTACCTGTCAGCTATCTAATGGTATCTATGTCTAGCAGGCATTAACCAAGAGCAGAAAATGTCCTTCTAACTCTATGCACATCTCCAAAGGTTGATGTGGTAAGGAGCTGCAAGTGCAGGTGAAGACCTAGCAGCTCCTTGCCTTGAGCAATGACACAAAAGAGGAAGTGGGGAGCACACTGGCCAAACAGCACTTTAAGTACACCCCAGCACACCCACCTGCAGCTCTTTTACTACCCTCTTGATGAGGTGAGTCCCAAGCTCCACACCTTGCAGTCCCTGCTGAGTCAAACTGATGGAGTAGAAAATGGCTGTTGTGATTTTGTCTGCATCTTCTGTTTCTAAAGGCGGCACTTCTTTCACTATGGCCTGGGAAAATAGCAATTAAAAAAGTAGTAGTTATCATCATTATGAGAGAGGGATCCTTGCTTTTTAACTTTCAAATGTGTTAACACTTCTTCCCACTGTTTTATTCATTACCCTCTGTGAGAAACAACAAAAATCTAATCAAAAAGTAGAAAGAAGAGTTGCTTATCCATTGACAAATGCAGGAAATAACTAACGTGGTTTATAATTTTCAGAAGTAATCACAACAGCTTTGAAGTTTTCATCTCATCTGCTATCTTTTATGTATTTATCTTTCCTTATTCTTCTTGCACTTGAGCAAAACCACAGAACTTCAACCTACATAATACTGCAGATAAACAGAATACCCCTCTAATTTTTAAGTGTCAATTCTCTCATCTCTTAAAAAAAATAAAGAAAACCAAACCTTCCCAAATTGTAAGGAATTACAGATTTTAAAGGAGTACATTGCCATTTGAGCACTTTGATGTGTACCAAATGCATCAGTGACTGTACCTGGATGCTGCTGGAGATATCACTGGTGAGTGCAACGTGCAAGACTATCAATGGTTCTCCTGGGATAGCACAGTGAGAGAAGAAGTAGCATCTTCTGTATGCCCCAACTCGGCGCTTCATATCAACCCAGTTTCTAACAGGATGCACAGCTTCAGAACTCAATGAGAAAACAGACAAAAAAAAAAAAAAAAAGGTATTTTGTTTTACCCACCTTCTCTGGTTTTCTTTGGAATAGGCTTAATGCACATCTGAGATTTCAGCTGCACTTTCTGTTCAGTACAGGATATGCAATTGAGATGACTAAACCACTGAATGAATCTGAACACATCTTTAAGGAGTCAGTCAGTTTTCCCCAGCTACAAAGTAGTCTGTTAGCATTCCCACAGCCACATCTTCAACCAATCATTTGAAATACTTTCTTCTCTCCTATATATTCAAGGTCTAGCATGTTTGCCAAAATACCTTGAAGCTTAAGTAAAACATTACTAATTATTCTTATTTTGAAAAATTAGCTTCCATAAGTTCTCTTTTCTTTGCCTTATCAACATTTAGGTTGCATCATTTCAGAACTCTTTAGAGATTCATTTTTCTTCAAGCTTTTTATATGGCAAAATGCCACACAGCATCACTTTGATTCAGTCATTTTCAACTACATTGCTGCAACTTGGAATACCTGACAGAAATTTGGAAATAAACACTGTAGATTTTAAAGGAATGTTCATAAAGAACAAGGTGCTCTCTTCAGATACAGTTTACAAGTGATTCTGTGCAT